CCTCAATTCACCAATCAAGAGAAACAGACTGGCAGAATGGATTAAGAAGCAAAATCCAACAATATGTTGTATACAAGACACACACCGAGTGCAAAAGGAAGTCCATAGACTGAAAGTGAAAGGATGGAAAACAATTCTCCACACATCAGGAGACCATAAAAAAGCAGGAGTAGCAATCTTATTCGCAGACAAAGTAAATTTCAAACCAAAACTCATTAAGAGAGACAAAGAAGGCCACTACATCCTTGTAAAGGGAACAATTCAAAAGGAAGAGATGACAATCATAAACATATATGCACCAAATATAAATGCCCCCAACTATATAAAACAAATATTAAGTAACAGGAAAAACCAAATAAGAACTAATACAATTGTAGTGGGGGATTTAAAAACCCCACTATCACAAATTGACAGATCATCTAGGCAGAAAAATCAAAAATAAAATAACACAACTGAACAAAGCTTTAGAATACATGGACTTAATAGATGTCTACAAAGTATTCCACCCCACAAAATCAGAATATACATTCTTTTTCAGCTGTACATGCATCATGCTCCAAGATAGACCACATATTGGCTCACAGAACAGGTCTGAATAAATGCAAAAGAATTGAAACTATCCCCTGTATATTATCAGATCATAGTGTAATCAAGCTGGAGATCAATAGCACAAGAAACTAGGAACTTCACAAGCACGTGTAAACTGAACAACACTCTCCTAAACAATCAATGGATTACAGAGGAAATTAAAAAAGAAATTAGACAGTTTTTACAATTAAATGCAAATGCCAATACAACATGAAGGAATCTATAGGACACAATGAGAGCAGTTCTATGGGGAAAATTCATAGCACTAAATGCCCACAGTAGGAAAACAGAGCGAGCTCAAATAAACAACCTAATGATGAATCTTAGACTCCTAGAAAAATGAGAACAAGAAAAACCCAAAGCTCAAACAAGAGAGGAAATTATAAAGATTAGAACAGAAATCAATGCAATGGAAACTAAGAAAACGCTACAAAAAATAAATGAAACAAAGAGCTGATTTTTTTAAAGACTAAATAAAATCAACAAACCCTTAGCTAATCTTATCCAAAAAAGGAAAGAAAAGGCTCAGATCCATGCGATCAGGAATGAAAAAGGTGAAGTCACAACAGATCCAATAGAAATCCAGAGGATCATTAATATCCACTTTGAGAAGCTGTACTCCAATAAAATGGAAAACACAGAAGAAATGGACAGATTTTTAGATACTTATGAATTAACAAAGTTGAACAAAGAAAAAAAACATTTTAAATACCCCAATTACAGTCAGTGAAATTGAAAATGTAATTAAAAATTTACCAACAAAGAAAAGCCCAGGCCCTGATGTATTCACTGCTGAATTTTACAAGACATTTAGAGAAGAACTACTGCCACTATTCTTCAAGCTTTTCAATGAAATTGAAAGGGAAGCAATAATTCCAAATTCATTCCTGGAAGCAAGTGTCACTCTGATTCCCAAACCAGGGAAAGACACAACTAAAAAAGAGAACTACAGGCCAGTATCCTTAATGAATATAGATGAAAAAATCCTTAATAAGATGATAGCAAACAGAATACAGAAGATTATCAAGAAGATCATACATCCTGACCAAGTCAGATTCATCGCAAGGATGCAAGGGTGGTTCAAATATGTAAGTCAATAAATGTAATACACTATATTAACAAAGTCAAGGACAAAAACCATATGATCCTCTCGATAGATGCAGAAAAAGCATTCGATAGAATTCAACACCCATTCATGATAAAAACCCTGCAAAAAATTGAAATAGATTGTCTATACCTCAACTTAATAAAGGCTATCTATGAAAAACCACCAGCCAACATCATATTAAATGGCCAAAAACTGAAAACCTTCATGATAAAATCAGGAACAAAACAAGGATGCCCACTATCACCACTCCTCTTAGATATAGTTCTGGAAACATTAGCCACAGCAATTAGACAAGAGAAAGAAATTAAAGCAATAAAGACAGGAAAGGAAGAAGTTAAACTGTCATTATTTGCTGATGATATGATACTCTACATTGAAGACTAAAAAAACTGCACCAAAAGACTTCTAGACTTAATTGACAGATTCAGTAGAGTAGCTGGATATAAGGTGAACACCCAAAAATCAATAGCCTTCTTGTACACAAATAACAGACTCACTGAGAGAGAAATTAGGGAAAAAATTCCTTTCACAATAACTTTCAAAAAAATGAAGTACCTAGGAATCAGTCTAACAAAAGAAGCAAAAGATCTCTACACTGAAAACTATAACACTCTGAAAAAAGAAATTGAAGAGGATATTTTAAAAATGGCAAGATACCCCCTGCTTCCGGGTAGAAAGAATCAACATAGTGAAAATGGCCATACTACCAAAACTGCTATATAGATTCAATGCAATGTCAATTGAAATTCCAACACTATATTTCACAGAACTACAAAAAAGAATTCAAAAATTCATTTGGAACAAGAAGAGACCTAGAATAGCAAAAGCCATCCTAGGCAACAGACACATGGCAGAGGGTATAACAATTCCCAATTTGAAACTATATTACAAAGCCACTGTGATAAAAACAGCATGGTACTGGCAAAGAAACAGATCTGAGGATCAGTGGAAGAGATTGGAAGACACAAAAACAAATCCAGATGTACTCAGCTACCTCATCTTTGAGAAAGGAGCTGACCATCCTCAGTGGAGTAAAGATAGCCTCTTTAATAAATGGTGTTGGAAAAACTGGATTTCAACTTGCCACAGATTAAAACTGGACCCTTATTTTTCACCATGCACTAAATTAAAATCCAAGTGGATTAAAGATCTAAATATTAAAACAGAAACACTAAACTTGCTGGAAGATAAGTTAGGCAGAACTCTGGAAGACACTGACATAGGAAAAGACTTTATTAACAAATCCTCAGTAGCATGGGAACTAGCATAAAGAATCAACAACTGGGATCTCATCTTATTCAAAAGCATCTGTACTGCAAAACAAATCATCAGCAGAACTAAGAGACAACCTACAATGTGGGGAAGAAATTTTACCAGCTGCTCATCAGACAAAGGACTATTATCTAGAATATATAAAGAACTCAAAACAATCAGCCCCCCCCAAATATAAAGACCTGATTCAAAAATGGGCATCTGAAATGAACAGACATTTCTCAGACAAAGCAGTAAAAGCACCAAGTAAATATATGGAAAAATGCTCCACATCACTGGTCATTAGAAAGATGCAGATGAAAACAACACTGAGATTCCACCTCACACTACAAAGAATGGCTGCTATCAAGAAATCACACAATAACAAATGTTGGCAGAGTTGTAGGGAGAAAAGAACCCTTCTGCATTTTGGTGGGAGTGCAGACTGGTGTAACCACCATGGAAATCGATATGGAGATACCTCAAAGAGCTTGGACTAGAGGTTCCATTTGACCCAGCCATCCCTCTGCTGGCTATCTTTCCAAAAGAACTAAAAGAATCATATCACAGTGATGCATGAGCACCCATGTTTATAGTGGCACAGTTTGTAATAGCTAAAACTTGGAAACATCCCATTTGCCCATCAGTTGGAAACTGGATAAAGAAGATGTGGTTTTTCTATAAAATGGAATATTACTCAGCCATAAAGAACAAGAAAATAGATTCATTCATAGGAAAATGGATACATATTGAAGATATACTCCTAAGTGAAATAAATAAGTCACACATGTGTAAATACCGAATCATTTCTCTGGTGTGAATAAACTGCAATAATACATAATATCCTAATAAGATTACTGACCTTGTGAAATGGGAAGAAAATGGCTAAAGGTGTTGGGAAGGTGGGATGGGTAGGGGATGGGTAATAAGGAAAAAGAAAAAAATTTGAGATAATGAAAAGATGGCAATAAAGTGTTTGTAGATGGGGAGGGGAGGAAGGGTGAAGGGAGGGGATGGACAAGGGGAAAAAATGAGAACCAAGACCTGTCATGTAGAGGTACAAGATCCCAACAATGAATGTAACTGTACTGCATCCTTAAAATGTACCAATAAACTCAATTAAAGCTGAAAAAATGACGTAATATAAAAAGAAGGGGGATATTCATCAAATATGGAGAAAACTGGAGCACCAAATTATATAGTTCAATGGTAAAGTATTAACTTAGGTGATGATAACAGCCTGTAACAGCCATTAACAGAACAGAGGAGTAAATGAGTCCTGGACAAGATGAAGAAGATCTCTTGGAGGGGTTTGGGGGTTGAATTAGTACTTGAAGATAGGAACACAATGAGGAGAAAGACATGAAGATCCCAGTGCTTACTATGAAAATGTAAAAAGTACTTAGATTGCATTGAGTAGAGCTCCAGAAATGTGTGTTCAAATAGGATGTCCTTGAGTTTAGGATCTATTCATAGTCAGCAGTCAACCAGTAATTCTCAATCTTGGCTGCAACTGATAACCCATGGGGAGCTTTTGAACCTTGACTCTAAGTGAATTGTTTTTAGGATATTTAAAATTATCCAGGCATCAAGTATCATGAGATTGTCAAGATCCTCAGGGATTCCAGGATAGAGGCAAGGTTTCAGAACCACTGTCACAGAGAGATTCTGTAAGTTCTACTAAAGGAGAACACAACTCAGACACCATGCTGATGCACTTTCTAATTTTTGCACAACACATTCTGTCTCCACTTTACTGAACTTGGAATTTAAAACTTTGTGAAATCTCAAAATAGCCACACCCAACCATATTATGCTAATTTGCATTAACTCTACATGATCTTTTTAGCTGTGCTGTATATCGCATACAGATTTACATCACCATCACTAACAGATCCTTCAAGTTTGAACCAATTCCAAATAGATCCTTTTGCCATAGAACAAATTAGGAAAAGGTCAATAAGCATGTTCACTTTTGGCTTTAGACATATTTGTTTTTTAAAATAACACCTCTCAATAAAGCAGTGTTTATGCAGAAAGTTAATTGGCTGACCTGTGTTTCTTTACAAGGTTGCAAGGAGAAGTTCTGCAGGACTCGGATGAGAGCAAGTTTCATGTTCATGAGAGCAAACCTCATGCCAATACAGTTCCTGGGTCCATTCCCAAAGGGCATGTATATATATGGATCAATCTTCTCCTTGTTCTTCTTACTGAATCTGGTGGGAAATAGATGAAAACAAGTGCAGGAAGGGATGAGAGGGGAGGGAGACAAAAAAATGTGTTATGAACATGCAAAAACTCCACATGATCAATGTAATCATTATGTGCTGCAAACATGTACTGATTTTTAAAAATTAAATAAGGGTTCTCCTGGGGCCTCCAAGGAGCCAAGCCTCAAGGAGTCGAGCTGCATGGGCCACTAGCAGCATTGCCCCAGGCCTCCACCATCACCCCCTTACCCACTGGGTCACACCAGTGAAAAGGGTCATAAAGGCCATTGTTCTGAGCTCCAGAAGATAGAGAAGAAGTGAATAACAGAGAGAGGGCCACTCTGAGGCTCCTTCATAAAAACTGAAGCCCACAGGGAAAGTTAAAAAAAATCTCTGGAATAAAGGCACACCAGACCAACAAAGTTGGTAAGTTGGATGGATCACCACCTCCCATCAGAACCTGGACTATCATCAGAGGAAGGGCAGCTGGAACCGGGAGTACAACCTTGCATAGTTCAACCCAGCAGGAAGTCAGGGAGCTTAATTTGAGCCTTACAGCCAGAAATCAGTCTGAATCTCAGTGGACTGCTGCTCACTTGCTGAAACAAATTGACTTGGATCTCCATATGGCTGCCCACGTTGTCTATTGTGACAGTAGAGACATAACTGAAGGAGACCCCTTACTTTTTTTCAAATTTAGGTTTTTTATTTTAATTTTTTTCAAATTTATTTGTCTTTTTTTCTTCTTTCAGTTTTATTTTCTTTATCTCTCACTCTCTCAAACTCTCCTCTCACTGTCTTCCTCACCAAATTTGCTCTGTGTCTCTTTCCCTTTTTGTTCCTGTTCCTGTCCAAATTTGTATATCTTTTTTTTTCTTTTTCTTTTCATCTTTTTCCTTCTCTTGATTGTCATTAGTTTTATAGGGAAGTGAATACAGTTTCTAGCTCCCCATTGCTGTTACTTGATTCTGTTCTTGTCTCTGTTTTTTCGTCTGTCTTTTCCTCTTGTCCTCAACAGATTCCCAAAGTTTGTATGACCTTCCTGCCCTCACTTCTAACATTCCCTATCCTCCTACCTATTTATACCTCCCTCCCTAAATCCTTCTCAGTCCTCATGCTGAAGAGTAAAGTTGCAATATTGAAGAGTTTATTTACTATAAACATATTTTAGGCTAGCCCTTGATTTTGATTTAATTCACATGGTTAAAGGTGATAGATTAATAGCTACCACAAATTGTCATTTTCTAAGCTGTGCTTCATGCAATTGTTGTTGCTGATTGTGTTACTTGGGCTAAGGTATTGTGAATGACCTAATCAGTTGTTCTTCCTGGTAGGTTGAAAATGAGATTGCCTAAGAGTCATTAGAAACTCAAAACTGAAAGACCAGCTGTATCTGGAAGACACCTGTGAGAAGCAATCATTCCATAAAGGTTCTAAATACAAGAAACAAAAACATTAACAATAAGCAATACTGAAGCATCAACCCAGAAATTAAACCAAAAACATCACCAACAACAAAAATAGAAATGAGACAACATTGAAGCAAGGTGCAAACCCAGACTTTCAGCTCACCAAAGGCAAATTCTGGGGAAAACAAAGTGTAAATATCTGATAACCAACCACTTGGATACACTGAAATGATAGCAGGGGAAGTAACAAAATAGATGAATGAGGCTCTAGAAAATTCAAAACAGAAATAATTTCCCAGATAACTACAAGGATGGTGAGAAGAATAAAAACATGATTAGAGACTCTCAAATACAAACAGATGAAAAAAATAGGTGAGCTAAGTACCATAATGGAAGCCATGAATGACCCACATAGGAAAAAATGGAAACCATGAAATGTCCAACATAAGAGAGAAATGGAATCCCTGAAACACACTCAGATATATAGATTAAAAACTCTATTGAAAGTATTCACGGTAGAATGGGCCAATGGGAAGACAGAATATCAGAAGTAGAAGACAGGATTATGGTTAGTGACCATGAAAAGAAAGATCTCTGAAAAAATAACAAAGGACCATGAGAAATTTATCCAGCAGCTCCTAGGCAATGCAAAGAAGAACAACATAAGACTGATAGGAGTCCAAGAAAAAGCAGTAGAAAGTACAAGGGACAAAAACAACTGTTCACATAATTAATGACAGAAATCTTCCTGAATAGAGCAAAAGAATTTGACATACAGATAAGTGATGCATATAGGACTCCAAATAGCCATGATAAAATAAATCTATACCTAGATATATGATAATCAAGATTCTAGAAACCCAACAGAAGAACAAAGTACCGCAAGCAGTTAGAGAAAAGAAACAAGTCACATATGATGGAAATCTCATCACAATCACAGCAGACCTTTCAACACAAACCCTCAAGTCACAGAGAGCCTGGACTAAGGTATTTCAAGCCCTAAAAGAAAACAACTTACAACCTAGATTTTTGTATCCTGCAAAACTATCTTTCAAAATGATGGGAAAATAAGGTGCATCCACAAATAAGAACACCTAAGAAACTTCATGAATATCAAACCAGGACTCCAAACAATTCTAAACAATATGCCATAAAAAGACAATGAAGGTCACAAGACCATAAGGCCCAACAGAGCAAATCCATCAGGCAAGACAAGAAATTAAAGGGAGAGGGACAGAAATGAAAAATAAAAGAGCCAAAAAGGAAAATAGAATGATAAGGATGAGTCAATACATATTAGTTATGACCATCAATGTAAATGGCCTCAATTTACCAATCAAAAAAAAGAGACTGCTACAATAGGTTCAGAAGCAAAAATCCAACAATATGCTACATACAAGAAGCACACCTAATTCAAAAGAAATTCATAGATTTAAAGTAAAAGAATGGAAAACAGTTCTCCGTACAACAGGAAACCAGAAAAAAATATATGTGTAGCTCTCTTATTTGCAGACAAAACAGATTTCAAACCAAACCTAAATCAGAAAGACTAAAAAGGTCCCTACATCCTTGTAAAGGGAACAATCCAAGAGAAAGAGATGGCAGTCATAAATATATGCACACCAAATACTAATCCTCCACTAAACAAAACAAATATTAATAGACATAAAAAAACTATGCACTAATACATTTGTAGTGGGGATCTCAATATTCCACTATCACAAATAGATCACAAATAGACAGAAAATCAACAACCAGGTTCAGGTTGGGTTCCTTTCCACAGGTCCCTTTACCTTTCAGGGAAAAATTTATCAGGTTCTGGCCAGTACTTTGAGTCTTTTTGAAGAGCAAAGGTTGGTACCATCACTGCTGTCCCTTTGGGAATGAACACTCCATTGATTTCAATATCTTTTTTACACATCCTCTCAATTCTGTTAGCGATTGGATATAACCTGAGAGTTTCATTCACCACCATGTCCAGATATTCCATTTCCATCATGACATCATATGTAGGAAATGCCTGGAAAGAAAAAAATCAGATCTTGGTAATTTGAGATTTGGAATTAATGTTTAATTCTGTCTATGTAGTGCTACTGAATTGTCATGAGCTCCAAAATTAACTCATATTGGCAAAGGACAAGAGTTACAGAGCACTTTTATAACTATCTGTGGGGCATTGGCCAGAGATATGTATGAGATAGATATGCAGAGATAAGAACTTTTGGAGCTACACACACTCAAAATGTCTGGAATGCATGGTTAGAGATTAAAAGATAACCTACAAGCCCGCAAATCCAAGTAGGATCCAAACGCACCACCTTAAAGAGGGAAGTTCTGGCCTCATCCTTCCCATACTCTGATTTATTACTTATATTGGCCCTGAGGTCAGTCATGTAACAGACCACCCTAACCTTTCCTTGTCCTTCTCTTGTCCTTCCCTTTTCCCCTATGAATTCATGCATAGACATCCTTCTTTGTCCACTATCCTTGTTTCCTGCTTCTATCAAGAAAAAGCCATGAAAGCTTCAGTTTGGGGCTGACTTTATGAGACTCTCTCACACTGAGTGATCTCCGTGAAGGGTAGGCCCTCTGGGCCTACTTGGAGTTTGAATTTGATATTGACTCTGAGTAATCTTTCATCCTTTGCTATTCCTTAGTCATGAACAGGGAGGAGCACCATGTTCATTCACCTTCTAGAAGGACACTGAAATGGGTGCTGTAGTTATGAATTAAGACACATTTCAGACAATCTCTACCCAGGGCCTCAAATCCCCAAACTTACCATGTAGTGATTTTCTTTCTCAAATGAGGAAATTTGACTAACAGTGCATTACAATTACACTCTAAAAAACATGGTAAAGACATTCTTATCTCTCAAAATAGAAGCCACACATCTATATCAAGGTAATGGAACATGGAGAAAATAAAATCCCTCATTCTAGTCTCACTATGCTGCCCAGGCTGGGCTTGAACTCACAATCCTGCAGCCACATTCTCCCAAGGAAATAGGCTTACAGATGTGCACCACCATACCAGATTATATCAAGCTTTTTAATTCACAATATCTGCTATTAACTCTTTTATGTACAAAAAAAGTTGGATAGAAATATATTAAACCAATACTCTATAAATAATTTGAGAAAGAAGCTAGTTTCTTTTGATTCCATTATAACAAAAGAAGTTTTGCCCAGATGCCACTAGGGCAAACAATTTTAATTCCAGTGGAAGTTTGAAGGAGGCTAAGAAGCTATACTCAGCCCCATTCTCTTTTGCTAGTCCTGTCTCCAAGTTGGGGCTTCAGAGCTTCACTGTGAGCTCTGAAGAGGATGCTCTGTGTTCATCTCATTGCTAAACCAGCCATGCCAACCTCAGAAGTCAGTTATCCTCACTCTCACAGCCTCCCCATTTGGAAAGAGATTTGAAGATAGTGTAGATCTATGTTATCACCTGCTATGGGCACAATGCAGAGATTAAGAGTTTGTCTCTGAGCCAAAAATCTAGATCATACCTTGGCCTTCTTACATTTAGCTACACAGCTACATGACTGGAGTTTGAGGATGTGTAGACAGAGCTGAATCAGCCTGCCCGGCCCAGTCAAGATCAATCTTGCTCAGCCAAGAGCCAGGCCATGGACATCTAGTAATAGGAGCAGAGATCTCTATCTACACTCTTAAGCAATGAAAGCTCACTGGTACATGGAGATATTAGTATTACTGTGGTAACACGATGGATAAGCCCAGACCAGCACTGTATTACAAAGCTCTTAGTCTCCTGCAGATAGCATTTGTTTCCTATGTTTCACCCCTTGTTTCTAACTTAGGATCCTTTGTACTTGTAAATAGTTCTCATGAATGAATCAACACTGACTTTATGTGTAAAAATTCTTCTTGCAGGTGATGAGGAGGGTTGCTTCTTCAGTACTGACTTCTTCCCTCAATAAGGTGTACACTCACCTTATTTGGCAATGTTGTATCAATCTCCTGCTGCAGTTTCTTCTGCACATCAGGGTGAGTGGCCAATATATGCATAATGAAAGAAAGAGTGTTACTAGTAGTCTCGTAGCCACCAAAAATAAAGATAATTGATTGTGCCACGATCTCCATATCAGACAGAGCTAAAAGAAAAGGAAACATTTCAGGTGAAGCAGATTAATGTAGAACAACACTGTTTAGATGAGAAAAATACAAATAAAGCTCTCATATACATAGAAAGAAACATGGAAAGGCAATCAGACTCATGTTGGGACTGGTTTTCACTATGATATTTATCTCACAGAACCATAAAATGCTGAAATTGTTTTAATTCAGTTTCATTAAAGTCTACAGTACCCTTATCCATCTCCTCCTCAGTATGTCATCCTCTCTACCTCAAGATCTGGGTAATTTCAAGACTTCACATTTCTGTCTAACATACATGGCATTATAAGTATAGCCCTTGGATAAGCATAAAATTAATCTGTTGAAACACCATGGAGTGGCTCTGTTTCTCAGAAAACTTCAAGTACTTCAGGCTAAAATATGGCTGAAAATTTATCAAGATAGTTTGTCAGACTAAGTCTTCATTGTATGGAAAACAAAGGATCTTTGCTCTAAATATATGAGGGAACTTAAGTGAGCAATATTAAGCTGTAAAGAAAGGGTTTTACTCAGTATGTGGTCAGTAGCACCATCTGAGTGATTATTAGAAACAGTCTCAAACCCACTCAGATCTACTAAGTCAAAATTTGACCTCTCATTAAATGTGATGGTTTGTGTGCATAACCTAGCTTTGGAGAATCACCTGGTCATAGAAGGCCCAGGGCAACACTCTTCAAAATGAATGATCTTGGACAAACATAAACTAAAGAGCAAGTCAAAAAGCTAGAAGAGTAGTGACTGACACTAGTCTAATGAATGTCATTAAAGAGCAGAAGAAAGGATGTATACATTAAAGGGCATTGGACATAAAATATAGTGTGGGCCAGGGATTTAGCTCAGTGGTTCTGCCCCCTGCCTTGCAAGCACAAGGACCCGAGTTCAATCCCCAGTAACAAAAAGGAAAACCAAAACCAAAAAAAAAAATTTGTCTGAAAACAAAAGCTGGGTGTGGTGTCGCATGCCTGTAATTCCAGCACTCGGGAGGCTGAGGCAGGAGGAACACTGTGAATTAGACACCAGTCTGGGCTACATAGTGAGTTCCAGGTCAGTCTCCACTACATAGTGAGACCCTGTCTCAAAATAAATAAATAAATAAATAAATAAAATAATAATAATAATAAATAAAATGAAATATAGTAACTGTAGTGAGTGAAATTAGTAATGCTTACTGATTCATAGCCTGAATGTCATCTTACTTAGCACATATCCCACTCTCTACTTCTTGCTCGCCAAGCAACCCTTGTGATTATAAGTTGGCTTTCTCCCCCCTCATTAAATTTATTGGTACATTTAAAGCAAACGGTACAGTTACATTTATCAAAGGGATCTTGTACCTTTACATGATATGTCTTGGTTCTTGTTTTTTACCCATATCCCTGCCCTCCTTTCACCCTCTTCACCCTTCCCTATTTACAAAAACTTTTTCCACTTTTTCCTTTTTTCACATTTTGTCTTTTCCCTTATAACCTTTCCCCTCCCCTTCCCACTTCCCCTTTAGTCATTTTCTTCCTATTTCACACTCTCACTTATAACATTTGAGCCTTATTTACACTTTTAGTTTTTCACACAACTTGGATTTCTTTATTTTCTTCTCAAAGACAAAATCACAGTCATGCAGTTCTCTGGAAATAGTACTAGTAGATATTTGGGGCCTTGAAATAAACATGTTGCCTACGTAAATGATGTAATTCAAAACTAAAAACAATGTAAAATAAGGATGAGAAAGTTCTTCAGAGTTCTGATTTATGTAAGATGAATTCTTACATGTTGTTATTGATAAATTCAACTATCATATTCTTTCTCTAACTTAGCACAAATCCACATCACTGCACTGAAATTAGACTATAAATGCAGCATCTAGAGCTCTGCTGTTCACTATGGTATCATGTATAATGAATTCAAATGAAATACAATTAAACTTCAGTTCTTCGATGACCCTAGTCACATGTATTCAGTGATGATCACATTGAATATCACTGAAAAACAGTACTGTCCTTTTCACAGAAACTTATATCAAACCAGAGAGACAGAAAGGAAGATCAGTATGTAGATATGTGAGCATTGGCATACTGTGGTGATCCCATTCCCGCTCTAGAACATTGTTAAATATTCAAGGCTTTGTGAGATGACTGTCACACGAATGGTAGCTTAACATTGGCTTAATAGAATTATTATAATTATATCAAAGAAATGGGATATATATTACATATCAGAAATTTTTAAGTAAGAAAGAGACAGAAAGACAGATAGCCTGTGCATATAACAACATATGGTTAGATGTAAAAACTGTATGTTTCTTAAATCTGTGAAAATATATTTGATTTTCTCAGTTTTGTTCACTTTGAGGATGTGGAAGCAAAATAAATCCTCATAAAACATTAAACTTGAGTTTTTATTTCTAACTACCATTTCTTACTGAAAGCAACCAAGCTTCTTGGAGAAATGACTGATATAAGGCTATCGGGGAAATGGAAGAGAAACCCAGAATATCTTCCATCAAAAAGCAAGGCAGTATTCAGAAAATAGCTGTTGAAAAGGACACAGAATACTCTAAATATTACTATGATGAAAAATGCATACCAGTATACATTTGTCAAAATCCACAGAATGTTGTAACCCGTGACTGAATCCTACTGTAAACTATGGAGTTTGAGCTATAATGTGGTGTCAACAAAGATTCATCAATCATAGGCACCATTGTACCACTGTGGTGGGGATGGTGGAAAGTTTGGGAATGTGTGTGCATGTAGAGGCAGGGGTATATGGAAATTCTTCATACTTTCTCCTCACTTGTAGTACGAACTGAAAACCACTCTAGTAACGAAGTCTCTTCCAACAAATAAACTATTTAAAAAGAAGAAAGAACACAGCAGGACACATTAAAGGGCCTGAAGTTTGGAAATCTGAGAGACTTAAACACTAAATGATGATAAAAAGAAAACACTGTTAATATATACGGTCACACTAATATAAATAATCAAACATTAATAATAAATATGCATGCATGGAACATTATCCTTACATTAGGCACTGGCTCACAATTGTAGAAAAATGATGGAACTTGAAATTCATCATTTTGCAACTGCTACACTAATACTAGCTACAACAAGATCCATGGATCAAGGAAAGGGGAAAGAGCAAGGAGGAGAATAACAAATGAAAATGACAAAAATGAACCAATCTGCCCAGAAAAGTAATTATTTGTATCACCCACATACACCAAGAAAATTTTTTTAAAGGAATAGTAGATTCATGGGCCAGGGATTTAGCTCAGTGGCTCCACCACCTGCCTTGCAAGCACAAGGACCCAAGTTTGATCCCCAGTACCAAAAAAAAAAAAAAAAAAATGCTTCTGAAAAGGAATAGTAGTAGATTCAGATGAGGGTGAAAGATGTCATAGGGAATGATACTTAAATGTATATGTTTTTGCACATACTTGGATTTTTGAGATGATAAAAATGATCTAAAATTAATTATTATAGTTTTACAACTCTAAATATAAAAATATTCTTTAATCCTATACATTAAATGGGTGAATTGCATGACATGGGGATTATACCTCAATAAAGCTGTTAAGGTTTTTAAATCCATGGATGATAAAACCTGTAGATAAACATATGAAGAGGTAAAAGTATCTACACTGTCAAAAATGATTCCCCTCCAAGCATATTCATTGTGAAAGAGAAAATAAGACCTCATGGTCAATTAACCTGCTGCACATACTTTCACAAACTATTCCCAGTGAATATCACCACTGTTAGAAAACTATATCTAGATGGAAATTTCTGGGAAGATTTTCTGACTCCCTGGGTATGGATGGGGCTGAAAATCATCAGTATTCGTTATGATGTAGATGATCTTAATGACTTCTAGCCTTGAAATTCTTGGTTGTGGTTACCCTTAAATCTCTGAACATATTTAAACCTGTATGATTCCAGAGTGTCTCTGGCTACCATATGTAATATCTGAGTTTGTGTCCTTCTGAAATTGGATAGAAATGCTCCTCCTCCTGGAAATCTTCTTGCACTCACTCTTTCAGAACAACCTCCTCCCTCTTAGCTTTGCCATCAGGACACTATAGAGCATCCGATTACCTTTGTAGGACTTGGTGTCTTTAGAAGTGTGGGAGTTCATCATCAGCTGAAGAAAATCCACTCGTTGCTATAAGAAAGGGAAATTTCAAGGACAGAAGGTCAATGGTGAGATCACAAGTAAATCAGGAGTGCAGAGGTCTTTGCCCTCCCACATTCTCACTATTTCTGGTTTCTGAACACAGACTCCTAGCCAGACAGTGACTTCCTTCTTTCCCTATCACACCTGATTGTCCAGGAAGAATTCCTGAACTCCAGTACTTTCTGTCCTCCCTTAATTCTTAAAGCAGTGGTCTATGGCTTAATTGGCTTCCATTTCCTGAGCTCATTATGAGCTCTGTGATCATCTTCAACTATTCTACACTCCCAGAACACTACAAAATCCTCAGTATCCATTCTGTCTCCTTGTCCTGCTAACATGTTATGCTTGCCTTCAGGCCACCCAAAGTTAGGTTACTTAGCATTAAAGATGTATTCCTAGAATGCATCCCTGCACATTAGAGGCCAAAAGACAAAATCAAATTTAACACAAACCAAACTCCACCAGATTCCCTGAGAGGGGCTTCCATTGGACAACAAGATGCTTCAAATTGAAATAAATCCTTACCAATACAAGATGATGAAAATAGACTACCAGCAACTATAATTTTAAATAATAATTTTTATTTCTTCATAATTTTAGAAAGAAGGAAATGTTAAAGTTATCTTAACACTACTTCTGCCATGACACAATAAATTTACTCCTATTTTTCAGTGTTAAACTTTTTCTCTCTGACTCACTCTCACGCCTACTTCCCCACTTCAACTTTCTCAGTTGCAGGAAAATATAAAAGCTCTCTTTCTCTAAAACTAGATTCTCTATGAAACAGAGGAGTGCACAAATCACATTTATACAGAGAAGAACATGTTAACAAGGTCATGTCAACACCACCATCACCACCTCACTTTACCTTCTGGTTAGGTTCCAGGCGATTTTCTTTCATCTTTTTTACAAATTTTGTGAAAAATTTCACAGAATCCCGTGGAAAAATAGAGATATTTAACATCTCATATACTGGAGTGAGGAATGGAAAGAGCACTACACAAAAAATAAAATACAATCTTTAATGAAAATGGAAAATTTACTTCTTTCAATTATACTTTCCTGAAACAATTAAACAAAACTTAGAAGAAAGGCAAGGGAGAAAATTTTCATGATATCAGTTGCACAGTGACTTCCTACAGATGAACTAAGGCATAAGTAAAAATGAAACTGCATACATCATATATCATCAGAACTGAAAAAAATTTTGACCTCATTAGACTCTACCAGAAAAGTGAAAAGACTCCTATAAAACAGGTGAAAAAAGTTGCAAGTCATGTATCTGGTAATGGAATTGTCCCTAGAAAATATAAAAATGTCTTACAACACAACAAAAATAATATATCTTACACATAAAAAAATATTTCAGCTGTACTTGAATAAAGTACTTAATCACATATTTATTTTAAGAAGATATTGCACAGAATCATTAGCACCAGGGAAATGAAAATCAAAACCACAGTGCTATACCATTCAGACTCACTAGGAGGACTGTAATTAGAATCATGGGAAAACCAAATGTTGGATGGGATGGGTTAAATTGTTAGTTTCTTACTAAGATAAACAGAATTTCATTGTAACTCAGCTTTGTCACTCCTGGATATTAAACTGAAAACACGCATTTATATACAATTTTATATTACAATTGTTTTTATATAAAAATGGTCATAATCAGAAAAAAGAAATCTCAAAACTCAATACTATAACAAAGAACCCAATTTAAAAACAGGCAGCAGATATAAACTTCACTGAAATGTGCAGATGACAAATAAGCACATTAAAAAATATTCATCATTAATCACTAAGGAAATAATCACTAAAACCACAAGGAGATTCCACTACACACACACTAGAATATCTGAAATCATAAAGACTGACCATAGCAGAAGATAGAGAGATGGAGAAGAACTCTCATCGTTAATGTAGCAGGAATGAAATGGTAAAAACACTCTGGAAAAGATAAACATTTACCCACTATCTAATGCAACCATTTCAGTCTATTTATTCAAAGGAAAGCCTATGTCCTTACGAGATGTATACAACAGTGTTCACAGCATTCTCTGTGTTATAAAAACCCAAATTGTGAAACAACCAATATATCAGTAGGTAAACTCACAAACTATGGCAGAACAATGCAACAGGATACTTCTCAACAACATAACAAAAAAGGAATGATACATGCAATATGGACAAAAATCTCAAAATGATGCTGAAATAAGACTTGTTTTCAAAAAGAATACAAACTATGTTCAGTGGTAGACCATGGGTTTAACATCTACAGGCCTTGGGCTTAACTCCCAGCACTAAAGGAAAAAAAATACATTTACTGTATGATCCCATTTAAACTCTTGAGAAAAATGCAACCAGTCTGTAGTGACAGGAAGCAGATCAATGCTTCCTGGTGGAAGGATACAATAGAGCTAGAGAAAGATCTCAGGAGTTACCAGTGTTTACTATCTTGATTATTGTAACACTTGCATGGATATCTGCATGTCAAAACATATCAAATTGTACACTTTTGATACATGCAGTGCATGGTTTGTTGATCAGATGTCAGTTAAGTTATTGAACGTGCTAACAGAATACATGTGGTGAGAAGGGGAATTCAAGAGCAAGATTTTTTTCCTTATAAAAGGAATTCTTCAAGGACGACTGCAATTCAGAAGAAATCTCCAGATCAATGCTACTAAAAGTACTAGTCTGAGAACTGGTTTCCGTCCATAATGACATAAGGAACTCCCACAGGAGGATAAATCAACAACTACACTAAGCACACTCTTTACTTCAGCTGATAGTTTTCATAAAGTTTCTCAATAAAGTAATATACTGTATTGATGAACATTTTGGCCTAAGCTTTTCTAATCACCAACTATAACAAACATTTCATAGATTGGCATTAGTGTAGAGACTCATTTTGAGTAGCCCTGTTTAGATTATGCTCAGATATTTATTGAAATTCTCTGAGCCTATCCTCACTAATATGGTAAGAATGGTAATAACTGCTTTAGACATCGCTAAGAATCATATGATGCTTGAAGGACATATAAAGCTTGCAGAGAGTAGGTACTAATTATTTATGTATTATGAACTACTGAGTTATGTGGAAAGTCATTTTAAAAAAGCAATACATGAAAATAGGCGTGGTACCTTTATTTGTTCAAAATGATTATTTTTTCAAATTAGCTGAGGTTAAAAGTGATTTATTTTACCCGCCGGGCAAGATGGCACACGCCTGTAATCCCAGCACTCGGGAGGCTGAGACAGGAGGATCTCTGTGAGTTAGAGACCAGCCTGGGCTACATAGTGAGTTTCAGGTCAGTCTCAAATACTTAGTGAGACCCTATCTCAAAAAAAAAAAAAAGTGGTTTATTTTCCAATGAATTTAACATTCAGTGTTAAATTCAATATTAAGAATTCATAACCAAGCTGAAAAAAAAAAGAATTCATAACCAAAATGGACATGCAAAGTATTATATGTATTTATAACAAGGTACTATACTATAAAATGACATCCTTTTATCAGAGGGTAATTTTTTTTTTTTTTTTTTGGTACTGGGGATCCAACTCGGGACCTTGAGCTTATGAGGCAGGTGGTGGAACCACTCAGTAAATCCCTAGATGGAAATGCAAGAATAATAATGTTCTTTTTCTGTGTTCTAGATTTTAGTTTCTACAATTTGTAAATTCGGAATTATTCAGATATTTTGAAGTATTTTTCTTGTTCATATCTAATAAAGAGCCTTTCTCTAAGAAATTTTACATTTCATATTTTCTTTGAAATGAAAATGATAAGGAATCTCCTGAGTTATATATGTAGCTTACACATTCTTTTAAAAAACTTATTAAAATCATGTAAAGGTACAAGATCCCAATGATGAATGTAACTGTACTGTATACCAGTACCAATAAACTCACTGGAAAAAAAACAACTTATTTAAATATCACAAATTTACTATATAGCCATAATACATGTCCTTGCTATTCACATATTTCTTTAAGCAATATTCAATACATATGTGCTTTGTATGTTTAGAAACTATTTTTAGCTTTCAATCAAACTATTTACAAAGATCTCTCAAATATTTAGTAAATAGAAAAAACAATCATTATAAAAATATAAACTGTTATTGTAGCTTTTTCACTTTCATTTTATGCATTTCCTTTTGACCATGCAATTTCTGTTCTTCAGAGACACTAATACATTTTAATCTTTCTAGTCTCAACACTGCTTCTTTCTCAACCTGGTACAGCAGTCAGTAAGCTGCAGGATTTCTGAACACAGTATTCACTCTGCCCTATCAATGGTAGCAGTGAAATCTGACAGTGTTGATATGTATCATCTCCAATTATTTCAACTGCAGGGCCACCTTATTAGCTGCTTCCAAGGAATTTATGAGATTCTGCAGCTCTTCCTTACTCATTTCAACAGAATGTGGTTTTATTTCACCATTTTCTTTTACATCCAGATGAAGGTTTAAAATTTGTAAAGTAGTGATCTTGTCACTAGAAAGTGCAAGCTTTAGCTGCCAGCCAAAATCCCATAGCTGTGCAGAGGAAATGCCAACTATTTCTCCTAAAAGAAACTGCTTGATTTCATCTTTCCTACTTTTAAAGCATTTCATGATAGATTCTTGATGAGATGAACTCAACCGATTCAATTGATGAAGAGGCTCTTCATCAGATAAGTTTTTACCAACTACAGCCTTGAAAAACTTTGTAACATCTTCTAGAACATGCATCCATTCTGTTGAATTCCAAACACTGTGATAATCCTGGTACAGAGGATAAACTTGACCTCAAATACCATCGATTATGTTATGAAGAAGTTGCAGGCTGCTTCTGCAGCCACCACAATGGTGTCCCCTCTTCTGGCTCGATCCCTGTGCCCTGCTGGGGTCAGGGTCAAGAAGTTTTGACAACACACTATTTACAATAGCCAAAATGCAAAAAAAATTTCAAATGTTCATCAATACATGATGAATGGGTAAACAAAATGTATTATGTACATATGATGAAATGTTATTTGTCAGAGAAAACATTTAATACATATTTAACTTGAAAATATAGTGCTAAATGAAAACATGCAGTCATGAATGGCCTCCTATTCTATGGTTACATTTATAAAAAATAACTAGAAAAGCTGAATCTGCAGAAATAAAGTAAATCAGTTACTACTTAGGCCACAGGGCTTTGGAATTGAAAATGAAAAGGTATAATGTTCCTCAACTGATAAAAATATTCTACAGTTGACAATGTGGATGAATGCATATCTATTTGAGTGTACTAAAAAATCATTAAATTGCCCATTATCAATAACTGAACTGTATGATATATGAGTTATATCTCATGTTTCTTTTTTCTCTTTTTTTTCTTTGTACCAGAGATCAAACTCAGGACTTGGTGTTTGCAAGGCAGGGATGGTGCCACTGAGCTAAATTCCCAGCCCTGTCAGTTATATCTCAACAAACTATTACAATAAAAAAAGGCAGGCAGGAATTGGGAAAGTAAGAACTATAATAATCTACATACCTATGGAGAGAAGCAATGGATGAAAAAAATTAAATTTTAAGATCTTGCTGGCTTTTTCCACAAAGGGATCATGCGGGTTGTTGAGGGAATCAACGTTCACCCCAAATGATGTTGCAGTGATCACATCCATGCTGTAGGCCCCAAAGACTCTGAGTGGAGAAAGACAGGGAAAATGAAAGTCTGTACCTCTTCTACTACAAATTCTTCAAGCAGTGGGACTCAGTGATATACAAGCATGACAAGCAGAGATCCACAAACTATCAGAAGAACTATCTGTTAAGCTAGCTGAACACTCTATTCTCCCCTCACGCTCACTCATGGGGTATTTATAAGGGGACAGTGATACAATTGCCCTTGTGCTTGGGGTGACTGGGACACGAGGAGACTTAAATTCTGAATTTGTGGGGCTCCATTGCAGACATAGAGACACACAGTCAGCCATGCAACAGCAGTATGTGTGGAGTGTAGGTAATAGATGTGTAAGCACCATGTTTAGCAGGACAAAGGAGGAAAAAACTTCTTAGGGGACTCAAAAGGTGACAATGATCTAGGTCTTTTCTTATCACAATGTGTGCCCTGAGCTGATTTCTCTTCAGCACATCACACAACAGCAACACCCTGTTCTGAGCAGCTAGAAACATCATTCCTCCTTCTCCACATTCCCTATTTAAGATCCTAATAGATCTGCTCCTCCCAACTACAGGGGTCTGAGGGGCCTCAAGGGCAGAAGCATTTTGGTATAATGTTAAAAAAAACAAGAATTATACTTGTTAATTGTGGGACAGCATCCAATTGCTTATACCCAAATCAGGCTGTAAGCAGTGCACTCAGTCTACAAGAGTTAACCACTCAGCTCTCTTTACTTTAAGAAGTGAGTTTATCAAAGGACCAGTAATGTTGAACATTTTTTCATATATTTATTTGCAACTTTTATTTTTTTGTCTAAGAAATGTCTTTTCATTTTGGATGCCCATTCAGGTCTTTGCATTTGGGAGGTCTGACTTTTTAAAGTTCTTTATATATTCTACATAGTAGTCCTTTGTCTGAGGAGTAGCTGATAAAGGTTTTTTCCCACATTGTAGGTTGTCTCTTAGCTCTATTGGTGATTTCTCTTGCACTGCAAAGACTTTTAAATACAATGAGGTCCCAGTTGTTTATTCTTTGTGCAAGCTCTTGGGCTGCTAGATTTGTTCATAAAGTCTTCTCCTATGCTAATGTCTTCAAGAGGTGCAGATGAAAACAACACTGAGATTCTACCTTACCCCAGAAAGAATGGCTGCTATGAAGAAGTCAACCAATAACAAATGCTGGTGGGGCTGTTGGGAGAAAGGAACCCTTCTCCATTGTTGGTGGAAGTGCAAACTGGTACAACCACTTTGGAAATCAATGTGAAGATACCTCAAAGAACTAGAACTAAAGGTTCCATTTGACCCAGCTATCTCTCTACTGGGTATCTTTCCAAAAGAATTAAAAGAATCATACCACAGTGATATATGTGTGCCCATGTTTATAGTGACACAGTTCATAATAGCTAAAACTTGGAAACAACTCAAATGCCCATCAGCTGGAGACTGGATAAAGAAGATGTGATTTTTCTATAAAATGGAGTACTACTCAGCCATAAAGAATGAGAAACTAGAAACATTTGTAGCTAAATGGATTCACAGTGAGGCTATAATCTGAAGTGAAATAAATAGGACACACAAGTAAATACCGAATAATTTATCCAGTGTGAAAAACTAAAAGTGTAAATGAGGTCCAAGTGGTATATTTGGGAGATAGGAAGAAAATGACTAAAGGGGAAGTGGGAATGGGATGGGAAAGGAAATAAGGAAAAATAAAATATGTGAAAAAAATGGAAAAAAAAGTCTTTGTAAATAGGGAAGGGTAAAGCGGGTGAAGGGAGGGTAGGGGTATGGGGAAAAAACAAGAACCAAGATATATCATGTAAAGTTACAAGATCCCAATGATGAATATAACTGTATTGTTTGCTTTGAATGTGCCAATAAACACAATGGAAAAAAAAAGTGAGTCTGACCAAAGCATATGATAACACATAGTCAAACTCACAGCAACTTTTACCCAAATTCCATTCCAAGCCTTTAACTCAAGAATGCTTTGTCTCTTTTTTTTACGAGCCTTGCCTGCATCAGCAACATATCTCTAGCAAGCACATATAGCCCCCTTACCCTAACCTGACAATGATTGTGTCACCAATAAATATTGATAGCTACGGCTATTCAGGGTTGTTACTTGCTTAGCACTGGACATCCCAGGTCCCCATCTCTCTTTCTTTAACTCTGTCTCTAAATCTTTCTTCTCACCATGTGTCATATCACCAAGCAAGAGATTAGAATTTCATCATGGGTCTCTCATAGTGAATAATAAGTATATTTAGTATATTGTGACACATGCTTGTCATCCTAGTACTTGGGAGGCTGAGGCAGAAGAATTATGACTATAAAGCCAGCCTAGACTGCATGGTGAGTACAAACTTATCTTGGGTTACTTAGTAACAACTTGTCTTTTAAAAAATGATAATAATTATTATTACACTTCTAAAGAAAATTGATTTGGAAGATCCCAGAGTTAAGGGACCTGGTGTCCCCAGTTTTAACAGTATGCTTTCTAGGATATCTATGTATTTCAAAATGTCCCCTTTATACAATCAATGATATGACTATCCTACCATAGCCTTCTTTTTGTTCTAGTACCAGGAATCTCTGCACCTTGTGCTTGCCAGGCAGGCAGGGTGATGCTGGGCTACAACCTTGTCCCTTACCATAGCCTTTTGAGTCCCTCCCCTCCTCATAAAAGAAAGGAGAAATGAGGTGAAGATGTAATATTTAAAATTTTGCTGTATCTCCATAAAACCATGGAGAGTTTAACTGTTCCAAGTTTCACATGGTAACTCCTGCCCCATCCACTGACTTTCACTGAGTACCAGTGTAAACTCCTCTCCCACTATTTCCCAACCTTTACATTTACAACATGTTTAAGATCATGCTCCTTCCTTCTAAAGTATGGGTTTTACAGAATAACCAAATGACAAATAAGTAGTCCAGTGTTTAAAATTACAATATTTTAAGATCTTGCTTCTTCCTTCTAAAGTATGTATTTTATTGCCTAGAAAAGCCAAAATGACAAACAAGTAGTTCAACTAATCTTGGTTCCTGTACTCAGTGGAGAAAACCTATCCTCCCCCAAATGTCCTGCTCCTGGGATCTGTCCCTTCTTGCCCGGTCCATTGGAGCTCTAATATCACATCCTACAGTAACACCTGGATCTAACAGCTGGCCCTGGAGTAACGCAGCAGTGAGAATTTCAGCTTTCTGGCAGGCAGCTACATAGTTTCAGGGCAGCTCAGATGTCAAGCAAATGCACTGATACTTACTCTTTCAAGTTAACAGGCTTGCCTTTCTCTGCTTGGCATCTCAGGTTTTTGACCAACACATCTCCATACTGTTTAATGATGGGGAACATCTAAGCACAAGACACAACAACATTCATTGCTAAATCCATAGACTCAGGCCCCAGAAAAAAGACATTCTCAATCACAAAGCAATATGTGACATTTAATAATTAAGTTTACAATGGGTCTTCTACACATAAAGACAACAAACCCTTCTTGCAAAGCTCCAGCACAGAGGACCATACCTTGGAAAGAGGCTAGGATCTTAGTTTCTACCTGTCCCCAGATTCACTCTTAAATTGTCTTTTTTTTTTTTAAGGTACCAGGAATCAAACTATGATCCTTGCACTTGTGAGGCAGGCAGCAGGACCACTGAGCTAAGTCCCCAGCCCCTCATGCTTAAATTCTCAATTAAAATTTCCTTATTTTCTTACTTCCTTGAGTTTTCCACTGGTGAAGGTTGGAGACAGCAGTGTTCGAATTCTCTTCCATTCTTCATCCTCAGATGTGGACAAGGCTTTTTTCATAAATCCTGCTGGACCAAGACGCTAGTGTCCAGAGAAAAAGAATTTATCATACTTAAATTTACAAATCTCCACAGTTGTGAAAAATTTGTTAAACAGACATCACTTGTCTAACAAAAGTGGTTATTAGGTGGCAGGCCACATGCTACATGTTCAAAAAGTATTTATTGTAACTACCTTGCCTCCTGTGAGTATACTGTGCTCACCCAGGCACCTGGAATGGTTTCCAGCCTTTATGTTTCAATTGCCTTTTAAATACAATGACTATTGTCATGGTAAAATGTTTACCAAATGAACAGACTAGAAGAATGGTGGCATACTTATGCAGCACACATATTGTAGCCAACCGTTTATCACTGAAAACTTTAAAAAGTTCACCATTACTGGACAAGAATAAGACTTTTTCCATCTTCCAAGACTGTGTAGTGTAGAAATGAATAGATTACAGACAGAAGGTAGCCTTGAAAAATTGTATGATGCCTCAGATTACTCTTCAATTTATATCCCTCTGCAGCAAAAACAATGTGGAAAAACAGGGTGCCTTGACTTGGTGATTTTTTAATATAAAAATGAAAGATTAAGAATGATGCACAATTCTTTGTCCAGGAACACAAGTAAAGAGAAATATTCTCCTAAGTGAAATAAATAAGTCACACATGTGTAAATACCAAATAGTTTCTCTGGTGTGAAAAACCATAATAGTACGTAAGATCCTACTGAGATAACTGACCATGTAAAATGGGAAGAAAAGGGCTAAAGTTGTAGGGAAAGTGGGAAGGGTAGGGGAAAGGTAATAAGGAAAAAGAGAAAAATATGAGAAAATGAAAAAATGGAAATAAAGTATTTTTAAATGGGGAGGGGAGGAGAAGGTGAAGGGAGGGCAGGGAAAGGGAAAAAATGAGAACCAAGACCTGTCATGTAAAGGTACAAGATCCCAATAATGAATGTAATTGTACTGTATACCTAAAATGTACCAATAAACTCAATAAAAAAAGAGAAATATTTCTGTCTGAGTTTACTCGATGCTGAAACAAAAGACCTGACATCCAAAGTTAAGGAAGGAATGGTTCATCTTGGCTCACAGTCTGTAGAGGTTTCAGTTCATAGTTGGCCGGCTCCAAGACAGGGTGGCATGACAGAGGTACATCACAGAGGAAAAGCAATTCATGGTGCACAGAAGGTGGGAAGGCATCAAAGCAGTGAAGTATTAAGCAACAAGTGATAGCAGCAGCGCTCTTCCTGTCCCTTATATGCTATTCAGGCTATCCACCCTTAAAGCAAGAAGCATTTACACCCAGTGTGGGCTGTCCCATTACGCACACCCAGAACTATGCCACACCAATCTGTGGACTGATTTAGTAATCACACAACCTTACTCCCAACATCACACACTCCAGATCCAGCCACCCCAGAAAAGTCCCATCTACAATCACATGAGGCTTTGGAGGCACATGTAGACACAAGCCATAATAATTTCCCTACTTGAAACTAACTTCCAGCTTCCATAACTCTGTTTTGTTTTAAAATGGAATTTTTCACATTCCTATAGTGTTAAAGCTCAAGAGAGGGAAACTTCCTCTACTTGAGAAAGAGTCTACAGCAACAACTTCAAATAACTTTTAGTGGTGGAATGTGCATCTTTCTTCCTACAAGTAGGAACAATTTTTAAAATCTTACTCTAACACTGGAAGTGTGTGATGGAAGTTCTAGGTAGAGCAATGAGGCAAGAAAGTAAAATAAAAGACCTGCAGACTGAAAAGAGAAAGATAAAAGTGTCGATGTCTTCAATTGAGATATTTGTCAACATAGATCTCCACAATTATACAACAAAAAACCTTCTATACCTAAAAACTTACCTCTGCAATATTGTAAGATTCAAGATTAACATAAAATTAAATCACAGTTGGATATAACAATAATAATGTGTGAAAGCAATACCATTGGCAAGCACTGCAAAGAAAATTAAACAGGTATGAATTTAAAGAAATGTGTACAGGAAAAAAAAAAAAGAAATGTGTACAGGGTCTCTATGTTGAAGCCACAAAATGTGGATGACAGGAATCCAATAAAATCCAAAGAAGTAGAATGGCACAGTGTGTTCATGGACTGGAAGCCTCAATTTTGTATAAATAAACATTGCCCTTCCATATTTATCTATGTTTATTTAATTGAGCAAAATATTAAATAAATGTTTGCATACATGGACAAGATTTTCCTGAATTTGGGTGGAAAGGAAAAGGGTTAAGGAGTTAAAACAGTTCTGGAAAGAAAGTGGAATAAATCACTTTCCATATCATTATGACCTACTATGTTACTACAATTTAAAAAATATGACACTAGGAAGGGACAGACACAGTGATTAAGGAAAGAAAATAGAGAAATAAACCTACACAAATAAGCCAAACAGATCTCTATCTATATGCAAAAGGAGCTCAATAGTGGGAAGACAGCCTTCCCAAAATGGTGTTGGACAACTGGACAGCCATAGGGAAGAAATAAAACATCAGCTAAATCTCTGTGGTTTTTTTTTTGTTTTGTTTTTTTGTTTGTTTGTTTGTTTTGGTAGCGGGGATTAAACTTGGGATTTTGCACTTGTGAGGCAGGTGGCAGTACCACAAGCTAAATGCCTGGCCCTCACACACTATTTATAAAAACACAACATAGATCATGAACTTAATAGCTTAAAACTACAATTTTAGCGAGGTGTGGTGGCACATGCCTGGAATCCCAGCACTCGGGAGGCTGAGGTAGGAAGATCGCTTTGAGTTTGAGATCAGGCTGGGCTACATAGTGAGTTCCAGGTCAGTCTCAACTACATAGTGAGACCCTGTATCAAAAACAAAACATATATATACAACTTTTATGAACACAAACACACACACACACACACGCACACACAAATAGGTAAATCATTATCAGACTTGATACCAGCCACCACACCCGACAAACTTGATACCAAAAGCACAATCCTTAAAAGAAAAATAGTTAAGATCCTATCAAGAAAAAAAGACAAGCTACTCATCGGGACTATAGAGAGCTAGCAACCAAAAGCCTTCTGAAGGAATAGTTCTCTTGACTGTGCTGGCTGTTATCAAATGTGTGCATGTGATGGACTTGCAGAGAGCTACACAGACATAAACACATACAACAAACAAATGAGCTCATTAAATACATTGCTTGGATTGTATCAATGTCAATCTCCAATTACTCTACTAAAAGGAATATGTTGTATTTATACTTATTGAAGACATAACCATTAGGAAAAAAAAACAGCATGGAACTCCCTATACATTGTTTTCACAACTTTCTGTGAGTCTACATTTCCAATTTTTTTAATTGTTTTTTTTTTTTTTGAGACAAGGTCTTTCTATGTAGCTTCAGGCTAGATTGAATGCATTATGTAGCCCAGGCTGACCTTGAACTCACAGCAATCCTCTTTGTCAGACTCCTGAGGTCTGGACTTACAGGCATGTGCCATCATGCCCAACACAAAATTGTATTTTAATAAATAATAAGTGAAGGTTTCAATTTTTTAAAATGGATGCCTACCCGCCGGTTTGTGAATGCAGAATAACACTCTTTGACTAGAACTGCTTTGATCATGTCTGGTTCCGTGATGGCCAGAATAGGCTGTTGACCATCATATAACCTGTGTTCACAAACAGAGATGATTAAACATAACAAACCAGAGTCTACATCTGAAAATTTGCCCAGAATCTAGATTTTCACCCTGACATTAAGTAATATATACTCATAAAAGTAAAATGCACAGCAACATTAGCTCCTACTTCAAGTTAGGGATTCTAACTATACAAGCCACTAGAGCTTTTACAAAAATGTAAGACTATGTGGTTCAAGTAAGAAAGAGACAAGATACAAAATAATTCTTCAAAGAGATCATAATTACAAATAAAACTGAATCTGATCATGCACTGTCTACAAGATACAAACATGAGTGCTGCCTACAACATTCTCTGAAATGTTTTATATGTTTACAGTATTTCAATATCAGTACTGGGGATGTAGCTCAGTGATAGAGTGCTTGCCTACTATGTATAAAGACCTAAGAATAACCCCTAAAACCACAAAAATGAAAATTAAGTGCTCAGGAGTACTAAATGTTGAAAGGGGAAATTGGGGTCAAAGCAATGGAGACTCAGCACTCTCTGTTCTTGCCATTGGGTCACATTGTCTTTAGGGGACCTGTCAAATCTGTAGACCACTGGGGCCAGCAATGTGGTTCCTAAGGACTGGTGAGATAGGATGAAGAGGTAGGAAGAGGCAAAGCTTTGTCCCACCTGCTGTGGCACAAAACCCATGGCTACATCTCCCACTGCTCTCCAAACTTCCAGCAGCTGTGAAAGGGAACAGCTGCTGCAGGGGGCCCAGATCTCCCCACAAAATAATCAAAAATGTAGCCTACAAGGGAATGTAGTGGTTTCAATGTGTGCTACATTACTTTGCCAAAGGCAGAAAAATAAGGAAGATCAGGAAATACCTGAATACAAGTCTGTTAAAAAAGTCTTGACTTGAAATCAAAAATAAACAAAACAAACAGAAAAACTCTACACTTGCAGAAGTTGTAAAAGGCTAAGCATAAATTATTTCCAGTTTGGTTACTTATATCTCTCAGTCTATTTTTCAAAAGCACATATTAAATTTAAAACTGATTCAAGGGTATAGGAGGTTGGGCTTTTAATTAAAAGGTTATCTATATATCTATCTATATATATATATATATATATGATTATATGAAAAGGAGATACAACAATACATTTAAGAGCACGTATTATTAGCAGGGTCTGAATTAGTACTTTTTATGCAATTAAAGAAAACCTAAGAAAGGGACAGAAGTAAAGGAAGGGGTCTCTGGGCCATCAAAGCATGGAGAAAAGGCATGATATGCAACATTCTCAACCTAATTTCAACTATGAACCTTGACCCCTAGTGATCTAGGGGACCCTTGACAGGACAAACCTCCAAAAGATTCAGAGTACACAAATGAAAATCTCATGAGCTCTAGGCAGACATTGTCCTCATATACTGAGTGCCTCATTCTCACATGTGTACCCATTGGAAGTTTCTGGAACACTCACCCCCATATCTTTCCATACTTTTTATAGCACTCTGTATCAAATTTCCATGCACCCTGAGAAGAGAAAAAATAAAAATCCATTATTGTTCTAAATGTACTGGCCTTAATTCTAACTGGGGCACAAAAGACTCAAATCACATGAAATCAACCTTACTATCTCTCACTGAAGTTAAAAAGAAGCTTATACTGGGGCCAGAGATTTAGCACAGTGGTTTCAACACCTGCCTCTCCAGCACAGGTCCCAAGTTCCATCCCCAGTACCAAAGAAAAAAGAAAAAAAGCTCATATTCACAGACAACTGAGAGGAAATATTGGGGACCTTAAAGCCATTCTTGACTTTCTTGGAGCATTGAATATATTGAAAGAATTCTCCTTGAAAATAAATATTAAGTAACTACATGTCTTTCTGCAGTACTTTTTTTGTACATATGTTGTCTCTAAAATCTTGAAAAGCTGTGAATTATTCCATTCTGGAGCACATGAGAAAACTGAGCCTGAGGAAAAGTGAATGGGTCTCCATGGGTTGTGCCCATTCCTTCATTGCCTTCATGAGCTCTTCATTCATCTCAGGAGCCCTCTTGATAAATTCTGGTCAAATCAGGAAATTTAAAGCACCAGGGACCACTTTAGTCTACAGGACTTATGGAATTCTCAGAGATGTTGTTGAGTGAGAAAGTGAGCAAGGGGGAATGACAAAGTGGTCTTCCTCCCAGCACTCCAGTTCTACTCAGAAAGATGGACAAATGGCACCTCTACACATAGGCATAGCAAATTAAATACTTACTCTAAGTTTTCACCTTTGAAACTTTAAAGCTAATCTTCCTGCTGCAAAGTAGCAGCTGTAAATGTTAATTATGCAAAAGTAGATTCCAGAAACATGGCACTTGGGGATCTGTACTAAAGAATGCAACTGACAGATGAAGAGGAAAGTATTTCTACTGCATTGGGGTAGGGGGAGTATGAATCTTGAAGCCATGATGAGAAAATGAAGGCTTCACTTGCAAATATTAGAATCCAAAATAAAACTGGAATCATCATGAAAAGAAGTCTGAGTAGAGAGCAGGCTTCAGACAGGTTTTAGTGATGGCCTTCGGGACATGAGCTGAAGAATATCCCTCTAGGGGCCAGCCCCAGGACCAAGACTCAGTCCAGGTTTCTTACAGGGATCAGACAAAATTCTTGTTACATATTACATTATATTCAGTTACACTGAATTTTTAATATATTTCTGTAATCCTTTCTGTAGTGATTTTGTATGTGAGTCTGTCTTTGTTTAGAAAAACAAAACTCATTATGTAGGCCAATAAAACAAGTTGATAGACAACCACATTCTGTTTGAGATATGCTCACATTCCCTGCTCAGATTCATCCATTTGGTGTAACTTGAAGCAAAAGAAGCACAGCAGAATACTCTCATTCTATCTCATTCTATTCTTAACTCCTGAAAAGATGCCAGGGTGTCAAAAGCTATGAGCTATGAAAACAACTACAGAGGACTGAGCAGTGCCCAAGACAACTGGAGAATGTGTGAATCCCCAGTGCAGAAGACATGGGCAATCTTGTAAAATGAACCTTGAGCATCCATCAGAAAGAAGAATCAGAGCTGCTCATGAGCTCTGGGAAGAACAGGAAAGGGGCATCTAAATGTGCACAGGCTGGTGAACTGCTGCTAGGGAATCTCTTCATGCTTTTTTCCAAATACTGACACAAACATCTGTCCCTTCCTGGATCTATACTGCACCAAACAAAATTTTCCTTTTGATGATCACAACATCTGAACCTCATGTCCTAAGCATGGAATGTTGACATGCCAGAGATCTGTGCTATGGAACTGAGGCAAAGCTGAGGATCTGGACAGTTGACAGCAGAGCTCCAGGGAAAATCTGGCCCCAGCTTCAGGTAGGTCCCAGACACAGTTTCTAAAAACCTACAATTCCAGGACTTTCCCCACAAGACAAACTCTTTTATGGATGCAACAAGGCCAGTGTTTTCCCAAGAAAGTAATCAAACAACACTCACCTGTCTGTAGCCCAAAAGAGTTCCAAAGAAAGGGAGAGGTTTAGGCCCAGGAATTCCAAGCCTCTTAAAAAGTCCATGTCGATAGGTCCCATATCTATAAAGTGGAAAAAAAGAACATGGCCATGGACATTGTGACTTTACATATATTGGAACTAACCAATCACTGACTTAGGAACTGGAATAGTCAGTCCAGAGGAGGTAGTAGGCTATATATAATAGAAAAAACACAAGCAACAATGAATACATTCACGCAACATCTCCTTCCTCACCTCCACTGACTGTCTTCCTAAAATTCACAATGATTTTACTAAAATCAGCTGAACTGTTTATTCTCCCAATCTTACTAAATAAACATCTCCAAATTTCAGTATTCATAAGAGATTTAGGCTATAATTTTCCCAGGGCATTTCATTTGCTTTTGTCAGTATTGGAGACTGATTCCTCCAGGAAGTGGGAAGATTCTCATTCCAGTAGGAAGACAAGGAGTTCTTATTTCTCTAGTGATAAAATTTTGCACAGCTGCATCTACTCAGTAATTAAGTCATGGAGATCCTGTGGTGACATTCTTCTGACAGTTTCTTCAAAGGCTTTCATGTTTCTCATTCTGTCTAAGCCATGTCCCTGTTTTGTACAATCTAGACCTTCTTCAGTTTGCTTTCCCAAAAATCCCTAGGAGCAATTTTTTTGAAGAGTCCCAAATTTTCCCAGAGTCACACAGTGCAGAAGAATGAATCTCTGAAGAAGGCATGTCTGAGCTGTTTCTCTCCCAAGGAATTTAGGCCTCCATCTAGTGAGATTCACATGGGAAGCACAATATTAGCCATGCTCAGGTTTAATAAGATTATCAGCTTCTTCTGTACATTGACTGTGCACAAAAAACATTTATTATGGCTGGTGTTCCCCAGGGAAAGCATGCCTTCAACTCATCTTAGATTTGTTACATGTGGACTCCCAAAACTGGGGGTGATAGGTCCTGAAGACCTTCTCTCATTGCTGAGAGTTACAAGTGACACACTTCAGAAAGAAAAGAAGCTGAGGAAGGGGGCTGCTGACACCCGTTTTAAGCTTATATCTGCTAGTCCTAAGAACTACACCCCATGGCAACCAGTTGGGGAAGCATGGCTAAAAGTGTGGTATATACAGGTAATCAATAAGCCTGGAAGTACTTTCAGCTACAAGAGAGGGAACCTTCCAAAGTTAAGCAACCTTCCTGTTGATAATCGCATGATGCAACAAAAATTAAGAAGCCATAACATGTTCCAAGTAGTTGAATTGTTTCTTCTTATCTAAGGGTGAGGCTTTGAGGCAATATAGGTTTCAATATCCTATATGAATCTAATTAATGTTGTAAAATCATAAAATGAAAAACAAAACGTGTATGAAATGATCTGTGTTTGTAGGACTTATCAGGGACACACCAGAAAGCCCTGGTAAGGATTAAGATGATTCTCCAAGATCCAAATGTGCTCTACTCTAAAAATTTGTCTTTTAGGGCCAAATAAATTCACATACTATTGGGGAGAGAAACTGAGTTTTAGGAGGGATGGAATTTTCAGAAAAAGTTCTCAGAAAAGAAAGAAGTGTGGAGTCGGCCCTGCCATGAAACCTGGGGTACACGGGAGAGCCTTGTGTGAAGCATGCTGGGGTGTCAGTGGAGGGAGCATGAAGTACCCTTGTCCTTAGGGGACAATCCTTACACACATCTCCTCCTGCAGAAAGAACACAGAAGGCAAAGAATATGAGACACAACACAAACCAATACAGCTACCCCAGAATTTCCCAAGTTTGAGGAGGTGAACTTCCTACCGCACATGGAGAGCAACTGTTCATAATCTGTCTCTACTGAGTTCTGGTGCATTAGTCTAAGTTCAAGCTATCAATCAAATCATCCCCAGGGGAAACAATTGTGCCAATAATCCTCCCAGGCACAGGAATACAGAGCTATAGCACAGTAGAGTGGGTTGCTCAAGGTACCTGCATAAGGTCAGTAGGAATCTCTTCTACATTAGTAGCAACTTTCCTTCTGTTATCTTTTTTGATCATCCAAACATATAAGGGAACCAGAGGTCTGATCCTACTCAAAACCCAGAGACACAGAAGAGAGGATCCTGGAAAATTACTCACTGATACAGAAGCACCAGGCTGAGAGCCAAGAGAACCCAAGTTTCTAAGGAGAAGTCCATCTCCTTCTGTGATTTTCTCCTCTGAGTTTCACTTCAAGCTGATTTCAGGGCTGTCTTCAGAGCTTCCCTTGGGTGCACAGCACGGATTCAGTTAGGATGGCATGAAATACTTATGTGCTGTAAAAGGTGGTGGGGCCAGAGCAGCAGCCAATTGGAAGGCCATCTGCAAATCCCCTGCAGTTGGGAGGAGACAGATGCATGCTCCAGCTTGGCAGCTGAAAAAGCATCAGGCACATTATTACTTTGACCTCCTTTGAGTTCATTTTCTGTAGAAAATCAATACAACTCAATCAACATTATCTCTAAGTCCAGAGGTTGTATATTCTTATCAGGAATATAAGCCATTGGCCCAAAATTTCCTCCAGCCTCCCCTTTGTGTAGTAGTCTTCATGGCTACTCTCATTCTGAAGTACATAAAACTGACTCAAACAAGGTATATCTGTAAATGTTTACAAATCTACGCACCTAGTCTGCCCCTGTGTCCCATAGAAAACTCTTAATACTCCTTTAAATTCCAAGAGGATCACCATTTGAAGCCCAATCTGGGCCACTTAGCAACATAGCAAGACCCTGTCTCCATATTTTTTTAAATGACTAGGGGTGTAACTCACTGTGAATGCCAAGAGTTCAATCATCAGTAGTGCAAGAAAAAAATCAAGACCAGGCAACTCCTCCTAATGGAGTCTTCAACAACCACTTCTGTTGCACAAATTCTGTCTGCTCTACACATATCTATTCTTTTCTTTACTGCTTCCATAACCATTGGTGATTTCCAGCATCTTTCCATCACCAGGTTAAGAAATTGTCGAGGCAATAGTCTAGGTATTATGTTCCTAGCCCCTAGTAGAGTATTTTACAGAGAGGTCATCCAGTCAAGTTGGTTGAGTTGAGCCAGGAGATTGTTGGGCCTCGTGTTGAACTTTCCTGTAAATCTTTTGGGAACACTTCATCTTCCTGGGTTGCTAATACAACTAAAGTAATTCTCTGTGACTCTGCCACCATACAGAAAGTTCAAGTTGACCTACAAAATTATGTGAAGAGGAGGCTTTTAATAGAGAAATATGACATAGATGAGATGGGGCTTACGATTACACTGAGCAGTACCAAATTATTCCACTCTTCAGGCAGCCCCTCAAAACAGGGTCCTCCACAGAGAGCATGTTAGCCAGATTCTGGATCAATGGCACAATCTCTCTGGATAACTCCATGTCCAAGATCCATGGATATGAGAGAGAAGAACACCCTGCATTGCCAGGTGGATCCCAAACACCTTAACCACCTCAGCAGAAGTCACTAGAGGCAGCACCTGGTATGTGGGACTCCAAAGAGATGATTCTGGCTTTTAAGGGAGTGGACAATGGGGATCAGAGCAGATGGCTTTTTGGTGAATGACTGACTACTTGAATGGGGGAAGAGGAGATCTTGAAAAAGGAGGAAAAAGACACTCATAATAGCATTGACTGTCACCTATGAGGCCCCACAACATTTCTGTTTGGAGAAACTCCTGGACTGAGTGCTAGGATGTTACACAGGCTCCTTATTGTCACTCTTACTCATGTTTCACGTTTTCTTAGGATTAACAACTGAGGACTACATGATCAAAAGGAAAACCTCAAAGTTCTTAAAACTCAGCATAAATAGAATACACCTAAGTCAATCTTGTGCACATCCTGTCTGAATTATTTCTGCCTGTCAGCCCTTCTTCAGAGACTGATACTCAGTCTTCATCTACTCCTCTCATCATTCTGGCTTTTTTCTGAAGTAACTTGGCATGGGCCTAATAGGTGGGTATCTCGTGGGTAAAATTTATTGTTACAACCATCTCACCTACCTCCTTTCCTTAGTTAGGAGGCAGTTGAGCAATTTGAAACTTTTACCATCATAGTGTGTCACCTTTGAGTGAAAGATTTGCCCAGAAGGCTCCAGAAAAAAATATGGCAGTTTCTTTCTACTGCACATGTACATGCTTATTAAGGACACATCACACCTCAATAGGGAGAGAGAGAAATGTAATTCAAGGGATCTCCCTCCTCTCTCACTCCATCAAGACAAGTTCACCGAATGCATTCAAACAGGAAAGACCAGAATATCAGCACATTCCTGTGGTCAATTTCATTAATTCCTTAAACCCAATACTTCCTGATTCTTTTTTGGAAACTATATCCCTGTGGAAATTCATACATATTGATTTCCCTCCAAAACACATATTTTTTAAGATCATGTTATCTCTAGAGTTAATATGACCTTCCACCTCCCATTCTTATCTCAGACCTGTTCAGTGTGCTGGAAATCTGTGTCAACAGGAAGAAAAAGGCTACTAATTGCTTGGTAGCACATTGTATCCACCACCATGTTCTTACCAATGAACAGTGTCTTGTTCTGCAATGGGGAGATGAAAGAAAGCAAGTTCTTTGAGCAATTCAATACATAAGTAACATCTCCTAACATAAAGAGCCTTACACATGAAGTTATGTGGAACATGTGAAGAAGACAGACACCTCTTGATTCTATTGACTCATTCCTGAACTGATGCCCTTTGCCATGCAATTTTAAAGCTTCTCTATAACCACACTGGATATAAAGATGACTAAGACCCAGATATTCTTCTGGTTGAAAATTCAAACAGATAACTACAATTCAGTCAAGTAAAAGTAATCAGACAGGTATGATAAATGTTTTATCAACCTTGAAGAGCTGAGTTGCTTTCTCAGTGTCCTTTAAAATAGATGAAAATTATCAGAGACATTTATAACTAAATTGATGCACACTGAGGCAATACTCTTGATATAAATAGGACACACGTGTAAATGCCAAATAGTTTCTCTAGTCAGAAAAACTGAAAGTGTAAATAAGGACTAAAGAGCATAATAGATAATGTGAAATAGGAAGAAAAAGGACAAAGGGAAAGGGAGCATAGAAGAGGTAAGGGAAGGGAAAAGAGGGAATAGAATTAATATGAGAAAATGAAAAATAATGGAAACAAATTTTTTGTACATAAGGAGGGAGGGGTTGAAGAGAGTGTGGGGAATGGGGAAAATATAAGAATCAAGGTGGGGAGCCTGGGCCCCGATCCACCACGGGAATTAGAGACACACCTGCTTCCGACCCAGTCGCCATCGCTCAAGCACAGGGAGGTAGCCTGGGCCGCAAGCCGCCATGTGAAGGAGAGCCACACCTGCTCCGAACCGAGCCGCCACCATCGCTCAAGCACCAGGAGGTAGCCTCAGCCACAATCCACCACAGGAAGGAGAGCCACGCCTGCTCCCGACCCAGCCGCCATCACTCAAGCACCAGGAAGGTAGCCGTGCGGGTGCCCCTGAACCCCCACAAGCCCCCACACACACACTCTCAGACCTCCTGACTGTGCCAGTCTTTGGACCCACTCTGCAGAGGCAGAGGTGGTCATCAAGGATATTTTTCTGAGTTCCCAACTTTGAACATCTTTAAAGAAAGGGCTGGGAAGCCTGTAATAGAACATTGTGCAGTTCAACCATTCAGAAGGTTGGGGAATTCAATCTGGGCCTTGCAGCCCGAGGTCTGTCAGTGTCATGGGGTTCAGCCATCAGTTAACTGAGACTAGGAGTCTTGCATCCTCACTCTGTCTGAGTCATTAAATGGTAAATACACCATATTGAAATTTTGTTCACTGCAGACATGTTCTGGACTGCTTCTTGATTTCAATTTAATTCAAATGATTTAAGGGTGATAGACTAGTGACTACCACAGGTGGTCAGTGTCCAAGTTGTGCTTGATCTTAATGTGTTGCTGATTGTATCAGTTGGGATAAAGCATTGTGGTTGATTTGATGAGCTGTTTCTCTGATGTTATGAAGATGAGAAGGCCTGTGGGTCGTTAGAGACAAAGAAGCTGGGTTCAAATATATCAGGAAGATTTGGGTGATAACCCAGAGATTAAAACAATCTGGAATGAGATATTTCAAGTACTAAAAGAGAACAACTTCCAACCTAGACTGATGTATTCTGCAAAACTCTCTTTCAAAATGAATGGGGAAATAAGACACTTCCATGACAAAGAACACCTGAGAAACTACATGAATACCAAACCAGCACTACAAGTAATTCTAAACAAGATCCTAGAAAAGGACAATGAAGTCAACAACACCATAAGGCCCAACAGAGCAAATCAAATAGGCAAGGCAAGAAACTAAAAGGAGAAGGTGAAAAAGTAAAAAGAGTCAACAAAAGGCCAATAACATGTCAATAATAAGTCAGTACCTATCAGTTATAACCAGCAATGTGAATGGCCTGAACTCACCAATCAAGAGAAATAGACTGGCAAAATGGAATAAGAAGCAAAATCCAACAATATGTTGTATACAAGAAACACACCTAGTGCAAAAAGAAGCCCATAGATTGAAAGTGAAAAGATAGAAAACAATCCTTCATGTGACAGGAGCCCAGAAAAAAGAAGGGGTAGCAATCTTATTTGCAGACAAAGTAAATTTCAAACCAAAACTGAATCTAGTATTATTGATATAGGACGGTACTGTATCATACCTCTATGAATGTAAAATATCTTATACCTGCTTTATGATACATAGTAGGGACCGTGCTTTATCAGAGCTACATTTAATGATAGTACTCTAGAATGTTCTCTTTCCAGATGATGATTAAGATGCTAATAAAAAAAATGGTGCCAGGTACCACAACAGCAACAGAACTTTGCTGTTTTCTGGATATTATTCTTTTCTTTGTTTCTTTTTGTTTTGTTTTGTTTTTTGTAATGGAATGTGCTGAATGTTTATAATTTTGTTCATATGACTGCAGAACCTGGAAAAGTTGTTGCTGCTATCTATGCATAACATACTGCTATTATTAGTCTTTTTGTATCAATAAAAATATATATATATACATATATATAAATTGAATTTTGGGAAACTTTAACAGTGCTGCAAATTTTGGAAAAAGTCATCCCAATTTACTTTGTTGAGCTGGCATTGTACAGAAATAGGCAGCCATATTGGTCTAGAAATGTTAATTTTTTTATTTTTATTTTTTATTTTTTTCCATGTATATAGGGGTAACACATTGTACTAAATATGTAAGGTCATATCTACGTGGGTTT